TGGTTCTGTATCTTGTTTATTTTGTCTTCTTTCATTTCATGAAAAAATATTTGAAACGTTTTGAAGATTGTGTTATGCAGTTTTAACTATGCTTTGAATGTATGTGTCCCTCCAAATTGCTTATTATTGAAATCAAGACAGTAAGGTCATGACTTAAGTACCTCCTAAAAGCCACCACCTCCTAATACCAGCACATTGGAGGTTAGAATTTCAGCACACTTAGTCCATAACAGGTGTTCCTTAATTACTTAGCTACTTCCTTATTTTTATGTTGTTTTTCCGTCTGTACAATAAATGATACTGAAGTGCGTATTTGAGAAATGAGTATATCCTGCCTCCCCCATTTCCTTATACTTTATTTTCAGAGTTCAAGTCAAAGGAATTTCACATTCATATCAGTTCTCTCACTATACCTTTGCCAGCATTTACAATGACTGCACAGCCTAGGCTCTTGTGGAACTCATGGCAATCCTCCTGCCTTGGCCTCCCAAGTGCTGAGATTACAGTTATGTGCCACCACACCTGACAAAGGAATGAGTACTTTTTGAGTATGCGCCAAATTAACGTTTTGATTTTTGTTTTGCAGGTATGCATTGCCAAGTGCAACAGCACCTCCTCCTTGGAAGCAGTGCTGTCTCAGGACCTCGTTGTGGCAGAGGGCTCTGCAGTAGAAGTGGGAGATTCTTTGGAAGTGGCCTACACTGGCTGGCTTTTTCAGAATCATGTTCTGGGCCAGGTAAGAGAGTGTACTCTGCAAGGTTTTATAATTTAAGGACTCAAAGATTATTCACATGGAAGGTATTAACTTTTGGCAAATAGAAATCTCTTAGGAGCCCTGCCTTAGCCCTGCCTCACAACTGCTTTTAGGGCATATTCATGAAATTGTTACGTGTAAAATCTGCATATTGCCACTTCTTGTCTTCTACCTAGGCCAAGTGGAAACCAATTTCCCAGGTATTATTTTTACCAATTGTTACACGTCTTCTATGTTAGTTTTAAACTTGGATATATTCTTTTGGCATTAGATCTTAGTTGTTAGGAGTGTTCCAGTTTTTCTTGTAGCAGGTACTATAAGTAATATGGAGTTTGTTGTTTTAATATTAAGACCTTAAAAGCAATATGATTTGACAGAAAAA